ATTACGCCGGAAATAATATGCGGAGGATTAAATTGTGAAGTTCAGTTCAATAAACAGTAGACGAAAATAAACAATGGCGATTAAAATCATCACAGGTACTCGATAAGAAGTGGAAAGATGGCCAGGAAGGTTTGATTGGCCCGTTGTTATTCAGAATATTTGAGATTAATAACTTTTCAATCAGATTAAGTGTCAAATGCAGATATTAATGGTTGGAGGGCAATGTTAGCTAGGCAAGCAATGATTATCTTTACATATATAAAATTATTCCGATATTCATACATATATATATATATATATATATATATATATATATATATGTGTGTGTGTGTGTGTGTGTATGTGTGTGTGTGTCTGTGTCTGTGTCTGTGTGTGTGCGTGTGTGTATGTTTCTGTGGAGATACTGATTATAATAACATATATGTTATAGTAAGGAAAGTAAGAACACATAATGGGGGTGTGAAACCAATTTTGCCTTTGTTTTACACAGACGTAAACACATACAAACATACCCAACCACCCCCTATATATATGGCCTGACGATTGCATATAGCATGAAACAGACTGTCGCCTCTAAGTGTTGACTTCTATGTTCACTTTTATATTTACACACGCTCTATCTCTGATATTGAGCACTTTATCCCATAAATATAGCACACCTTAAGACTATATTTCTTTATATATATATATATATATATATATGGGGAGAGAGCGAGAAAGACAGAGACACTGACAGACAGGTAGATGAATATATAAACACATACTACTCCAAACTTTATTTTGTTGATACTCATATTTAAAAAGACGTCACGTATTTTAAACAGTATAAATTACGTCTATGAGCTTGCGCGTTCGAGAAATAATAAAGAAACTTGTCACCTGGATAGTTTTAAAAAAGATTAAAATATCAATCAATTCGAAGCTTACCGAAATGGAATAGAATTCTATGTAAGTGTGGGAACTTCTCGCTTGTCTTTCGTTTCAAACATCAGGTACTGAATCTTTCCTTCCTACATTTTATCCAATAGAGCAGAACATAGTTTTGATTCCCAAAACGCATCTCTTTTTCTTATGACATTTATCTGTGCAATTACTGGAATGAAATATGACACATTGACGATTTTAAAATGGGAATCCCACTTCTGCATGGAATTGCTGATAAAATCTAGTCTCCTTCGTATTACTTCCCACCCCGCCTGGTATACGCAGTCAATTGATCCTGATCCGTCGGGTCTGAGTGCAATGGGAGAAATAATGCCGTGACAAAACACCATCTCTCAAAACAAATATACTTTCAGCATTTCAGATTGGGGCTCATTTTTCACTAGCATGCAAGTTCTTCCTTACTATCTGTCAATATCTCTGAGATAGAGTTATTATGATTACTTACCTTATTTACATTATTCAGATTGTTATACTCTTTTTCATTGCCATATTCAAAGCATATCGGCTGTTGTACGCTCTGGCCTTCTTCAGGTGATTGGAATTTCGAGCCGAACTCGACCAACTAGATTTTTCTAGTTCCACGTGCCATGTCTCTTTCCGATGTATCATGTATTCTCCAAGTTAGGTTCACCACTTCTGTGGCATGGTATTGAACTCACAACATAAACCTAATATCTCAGCAAGTTTTTTTTTTTTTTATCAGTGTTCATATTGCAATTTTTCTATTATTATTATTGCATATTTTACAAAAGGACGTAGATTATTGTGGATCTCCATTGAGTCCATTATTATATGTGAATTTCCATGGCTTCCAAAAGATATTGGTGTCATATCCCGTTAGCTCTCCCAGGTTTGGAATTCAGAGTTCAATTATTAAACAGCTTGACGCCGAATATTTTAAAAATTAATCTACCTAATATTTAGCCCATACCTGGAGGAATATGTAACAGATTCATGAATTCACTAAGGGCTTTTTAGGGAAAGTGAACGTGACTTATTAGCTCAGAATTGAAATATTGCAAATTGATGATTCTTGATTCTAAATTGAAAGTATTTTTACTGAAAAAGTTCTTGCAAGTGAAACCAACTTCGCTTTGTACCCCTCTCTTACCTGTTTGCACTAATCAAAATTTGGTTTCGATTGGTCAAATTATATATATATATATATATATATATATATATATATATATATATATAGATATATAGATATAGATATAATTGCAATTTTAATAAAGGCTACTTATAGAGGATACGTGTGTTTGTGTAAATATTCCTGTTTATGGACAAAGAGATTCATATATATATATATATATATATATATATATATATATATATATATATATATATATATATATATATATATATACTAAATAGATTACGACAGACAATTATGTAACATATTTTTTTCTGTTTATACGTTATTTTTATGGATAGAATTTATTGAAGTAATCCATTTTTTTTAAATAAAACAATATTTTTTTCTTTTAATTAAACCATATTAATTACATTTATTGGCCAGAATGTTCGAGAAATTTCGTAGAAAATTTTCGTTCTCCGGCTGGAATCAAACCCGTATTCCTATATGACAACCGTCATTTTTTCTGTCAGACAACGCATATTTTCTACAAAATGTAAAAGAAATTAATAAACAATTTTGATTGTAAACAAATTTCTTTATAATTAGGCAATTAATCTTATCATAGAAGATGTCACACAGTTTTATATTGCTTGGAGTTATATGTAGATTATTTCAGGGAATTTTATTCATGTAAAGTTTTATATTGCTATAATTTATGTGAAGAAGATTTGTCATCATTTACGCTCGCAATATTGTTCACATTTTCGTTGTTGTCAGAAACAACGTTTCGGTTATTGTACCTTTGTATCTCATCAGGAACTTAACGGTCCGGGTAGTTAACGGGGTATTTCGAATCGAATTCTCCATATATTTCACCTTATCGAGGTGAATTGTTCTCTTTGCATTATCCATGTAAAGGATACATCACCTAGTTCTTATTCTAGAATTGTTCGGCACGTATCCATCGAGTCTAAAACTTCATGATCCGGCACAGTGATTGAACTCACAATTATTATACCACAAAATTCAATAACGAAAGCATTCCACTGGAATATTTTTACATGATATAAATTTTTCTATATAATATTTTATCATAAAAGTAAATATTCTAGATCTTGCTCATTGATTAACTACCATATTGAAATTAAATATAACCAAATTCCTAAAATTATAATAGAAAGCACTGAGAAATTTGGAACGCCGATTTAATGAAAATCAATTGATTCAAATCACACGTATTTATCAAATGAATGTTTGCATTCTAATAACAATTACGAAAGTGTTTAAAATATCACACCGAAAAACTCTGTACTTAGAATAAGAAACAAAGGTACTTTCTCTTACTCATGGTGAATAAAATAGAGGTAATAGGTTCTTGTAAGTATTATATACAGTGTAACCCGGATATAAGAGACCCGGATATAAGAGAAACCCTGATATAAGAGAGATTTACTCTGGTCCCAAAATTAGAGCCTGTGTTAATGTATATAAAATAGCCCAAACCCGGATATAAGAGAAACCCGGATATAAGAGACTTATTCTCCGGTCCCGACAACTCTCTTATATCCGGGTCACACTGTATTGGTTTTCTACTTGTACGAACATTGTAGTATCAAATGATAGCTGAGCCGGGAAGCCTCGTTATTTTTGTTGCTAATAGTTTTTCTTTTTCCATTGAGACGGGAAATTAACCTTCTGTAAATCCATATGACTAGTTTTTGTAAAAAAAAAAAAACTTCTAGGTTTTTGTGTATTATTGAGATAAATGTCACTATGACGAATATTTGCAAATGAATATGTAAGTAAAGTCTCATTCCTCTCGGCCATTAAACTAGATGCAAGTTGAACTGCAAATATTTGCTAACGTAAAATATGTATAAGACATTTAGAAGATGTATTTAGCAAATTGAATGGATTTCATGCCAACGTTTACTTTGCACTTCCGGATTATGGAAATCTCGTCCGGCTTCTTGCTTTCCAGTCAACTTTGATATTCAAAAATTTAAATGCGATGTCAACTGTCATCTTCCGTCTTCGTAATTTTTTTTCTTTTATTGTTCTCTCTCCTTAATAATGTTTTCTTTTTCTCATATTCTCTAAAACTCTGTAAACTCTTGTATCCGACTAGCCTTATTGACTTGTTTCGGTTAAAATGACAAAAAAAAAAAAACGTGTGATCTATACGCAAAATAAGCAAGTATATGAATTAGCTTTTTCGATTCTCGAATTTATTCTTGAAACTTTTTATTTCTTTCATCGTAAGAACATATAATTTGGACGCATAATTTATATGTAACGCATTTAAACTGAATAATCCTCCATGTCTCCTTAACTCAGTGTTTCGTTCGCCTCTAGCTTTAATGATGCGCTTAAAGAATTTCAATTCTAATTCTATCATAATAATTCAGATCGTAGGCAGCGATCGACAGGAAAAACGATAGAAAAAGAAACATGCTAAAACAAAATTATAACAATGAAAATTGAAATTGAAAAGCAAAAGAAAAAAAATAGAATTATTATAATCAATCGCTTGTTTTGCCGTACGCATGTCGTGAATAAAAATATTTTAATTGTATGAAACAATTAATTAGCTTCGTTAGTTTGAATTCTCGTACGGGATATTTTACACTGCGTGGTTCACGCATACAAAACAATTAGGATGTTGATCTATACAATGGGAATTATCCTAATACAAGACAATAACATTTAAAAAAAAACGAATCGACAAAACAAGGAAGTGTTGTTGATAAATAGTCTGGGCCCACTCTTTGCTCTATGCCACAAAGAAATAATAACGTCAGATCATGTCAATTTTTGATCTAATCATATCAATTGTTTGTTTGGAATCGATTGCGATGGGATCTTGTGATATTATCCTATGTTTATTTAGATATTAATTCATGCCATCCGACCTTGATAAAAATATATATCTTGGAAAGCCGAAGCGTAGTGTGAATTCTGTTATGTATCATGAGGCTTACGGCGACAGCATGTTGAAACACCGGTCTCCGTACGACCGCCGAAGTTAAGCAACTTCGAGCTTGGTTAGTAACTAGATGAGTAACGACTTCCGAATACCAGTTGCCATAAGGTTGGATGGGCAGCTGGTGTAATGGATAATGGCACGGAATTTTTAATCAGAGAACCGAGTTCTAGTTTCTGTTGGGTTTGTTATATTCATTTACGCGCAAATACCCTTAGGAAAAAATATGAATCCATCTGTCTCCACCAGCTATAGGTTAATCAGTAGCACTTGCATCGCTCTACCATTATTAACTCTAAAATAATTGTTACAATCCAAAAATAATTTCTGTCTTTAAATATACCGATAAAGTTTGATAAGTCTTAGAAAAAAATCATTTATATGTTATGTATCATATTCTTTCAGATCCTGATTGTTCATGGATTTCCACAGCTTTCTCTGACTTGTTGGTTTAAATATATTTTTACTATTTAAAATCCCCACCATTCTGGTTCTCTTCTGCCATGTATTAACTCAATCTCATTCAGCCGTTTATTGTTTCTTTTCACATGATTCTCATAGATTTACTATGCCTGCTGAGTTCAAAGTTTTGCATACGTTTCATTTTAAATATATTTTTCCTTATGGTTCCTTACGTCTTCCACATTAAGCAAGTATTCTGGCCATGATATTCTTAGGGTTAGTTTGGATTAATGAAGAAGAAAACGTCTTGCTTGAAGAGATGAAGAGGAAAGCTAAATATATATAAATTTGCGATAGAGATTGCATAAAACAAAAATTTGTTCACGACGAAGATAAAAACATACAAGACCATCATTGATACAGAAAGACAATAATAATCGTAATCGTGATGTTGTTTACTTAGATAAGTCTAGTTTGGTACATGGTAATAATTTGGAAGCGCAAAGCTGAGATAGTCAATAAATAACAAATTATATACATTATTCACACTAAATTTCATCTTTGTCGCCATATTTATTACAACGTTTCGGCCGTTGTACGCTCCGGCCTTCTTCAGGTAGTTGGAATGTCGAACTGAACCCTTTATTTCGCTCACTAGGGTGGACTGTCCTAGTTCCACATTTAATGGATGTCAGTTATCAGTTATCTCCTGTTAATTTCCCTCTGAAGTTTCTCCACTGCCTTAAAGCGGTATTGAACTCACACCCTTTGCGTCCTGTAACGCCTTTATCCACTGTGCCATATGTCCTTGAGGACATCCGTGTATGAATTTCTAGGAATTATAAACCTAGTGTCTTCATCAACCATTTTTTACCTGCGCTCATATTGCAATTTTCGCTGTTATCATAACATGTTTTTACCAGAACTCATATTGCAATTTTTGTTGTTGTTATCGCTTTTCTCAGGCACTCCTTATTACTGGTTCCAATAATCTTTTCATTTCTATTCTCGGTCTGTTCAGGAGATTTTTGTGGCCTAGAATATATGCTGATTCCTTAAGTTTACGAATTTTTCAATGGTGTCCTTTGTCTATGATCTCAACCTGATCCCACAGAGGGCGGTGATCTCCCTTCTCTCTCCATATGTGGTCAGCCACGCTTGATTTTTCCACTTCTCCTCGTGTTAAGAAGGGCGGAGCATAAAACGGCCGAATCGTTGTTATAATTATGACGACAAAGATGAGGACAATAGTCCGAATAATGTAAATAATGTACATAATACCTCATCTCAGAAATATAGACATATACCGTCAATAAATAATAATGATAAAAATAATATTATGCCTCTTCATCTTTCTTATGATATCGATTTAATGGATGGCAATGTTTCATCCGCATGAGCAGCACATCTGTGGCACATATTCACACTCGCACTTTCGAAATCAAATTTTGGACCCAACGGCAAACTGAAGCGCGTGACGAGCGGTGTTGGATCAGTTGAAGTGAATACCGAAACCATGTTTCCATGGACGAAATCTCCTGCGCCATTGAACAGCAGCACTTGATAGCAGTGATGCAAAAAGATTTCTTAGTTTACATATGCTACCGGCTGTTTAATCATTGTCTCCGTCAAGTTAGCCGGGCGAGAGAAGCGGCCAATAATCCATGCGAAAGTTAGTAATACGATCTGATATCAATTTATATTTTAATATATTATATGTTGTATTATGTAATGCATCATATGCCTCCGTCATATAAGTCCGGCAAATATATCTCGCGTAGAAAGCGTATTTCATGAAATCAATCCATGTAACTTTATCACAGCCATATAGAATTGTCATATAGCAAGTTTTCACTTTTTTAATCATTTCACCCCAAGTAAGGTAATAAACTCACTAAAGCGGAAATGAGTTACTGAGTGTCAGGGAATATGAGAAAGCGAAAATATTATTAAGGAGAAAGAAGTATAAAATAAAAGAATTAAGAAGTTGTTTGAAAAGCAAGATGGCAGAATTGAGGTGTGAGATAGAAGAAACTGCTACCATATATCTTACAGTTATATGTTGTCATTTTGACTGTAAAATATTGAGGCATTTCTGCCAATCTAGTACTGCGTTTCAATTCATAAAAATTTAAGTACCATAGAGGAAAGTTTATCAGAACAATTCTCCTGAAAATATTTATAGAAGAGGTAGGAGGAGGTTACATTATGGTAGTAGGAGAATGACTGTAGAAACCAGGCGTGTGTGTCATAACAGGTCCTAGACGTGAACGTTAGAGCAGGTGGTACCAAAATCGACTGTGCACTTTCCATGGAAGTAGCGATGGAGAATTGCACAGCTTGCCACATCCTGTCAATAATAAAGGAAGTGCAGGTTGTCACCCACGAGGACTCGAAATCTCTTATTTATTCTATTGAGACTGTAAAATGAGGACTGGGCAGGTCCTGACTGAATATGATAGGAGTACTACATTTTAGGCGTGACCTTGTTCTTGTAAAGGGAGAAAATAGAAGGACGTGTCAGGTACTTACTGGACCGGCACAGGAACCCAATCATTTGTCGTACAACATTAGCGAAGAATCGTATTTTATATGGGCTACATGAGGTCTGAGGTGAGTTAAAGTCCCAATAGCCAATTCAAGACAAGCGATGGTGGATGTAACTAGTTTAGTTTGCGAAACATTGAATATAACCAGCCAGTTTCTTCCCTACTGCCATCTTAGAGCAAGGTCAGATGAGAAATCAGCTTCATTCGACACCGTGAACTTTATGTGAAGCAAACAGTCACGACCATATCACGCTGCAGAGACTAGTATTAAAGTGTAATGCTTTTGATACGATATGTTGTGCTGTTTACTTTGCAAATATTTACAAGATTTTTCTGCCTGAATTTCTAGGATGAGTTATGATTATTTACATGCAGACAAGTGTCTTCATCTTTGTTGCTATTATCACTGGGGCTTAGGGGAAAGATCAATAAGAGGGCAATGCTAAATAAGAACTTTTTACTTTGACGTGATCAGCGAAAGAGAAAGACCTATAACCTTAGATTAAATAAAGCGTCCGTTTCAGAGAAGGTTAATGCGGATCGACAAAAACAATGCTGAAGTCACGTGGAGAAAATGGCCGACACATTGCGAAAATAACAACAAAGATAAGGACAATAGTTCGCATGTAAATAATATAAATAATTACAGAAACGTTACGAGCAATTTCACAGTTTCTATCGAATAGAAAATCCTTTCAGAAAGATCCGTAATCTGTAAATCAGAAAGCTGCCAATTTCGGTAAGATTTTAAAAATGCCAATATTTTATTTAACATTTTTCGGATAATACTTCACAAGGAATTTGTGTTCCGAAACACTGAAGGAAGCAGACTTTATCCAGGTTGTTTCTACTGAAATTAAATATGCACATATTGCGTGGAGTAAATGATTTTCTTTTGAATTCGCTCTTAATGCTTTTTCATGTTATTCTTTCTTTGATCCACATGATGCGATTAAAGTAATTTGTGTTTTTCTGTAATATATATCGAAGCCCAATAATACATAAAGAATGTAATAAAAATAAACATAAACGAGATTTGAATTACCAATTGCAATTCATGTATTCAATACATCATTCAAATTTAAGATTATCTCTACATAATATTTCACTCTTCATTAAATTCACCTTCGCTTTCCCATTGATATTTTCACTCTTTCTAAAACACAAACACACGCACACACACGCACACGCACATAAACATAAACATATATATATATATATATATATATATATATATATATATATATATATATATATATAATTTATAACAGAAGCCATTGGTTTTATACCAACGGCTTCCCATACTTAATACTTCTCGTTTTTCAATCTCGCGTGGTCATGTGTGACGTCACGAGCTGCGAGGCGATTTTCGCTTCCGCGTCTCGTATATTCGAGTGCGTCGTTACTTGAAAAGTATCATGCAGCAAGGGCGGACTATCATTGTTGTTTCGTCCTTTGTTGTTTCATTTACTGAAATTGTCATCTTTGCTAATATACATATATATATATATATATATATATATATATATATATATATATATAAGAACAGATTTTTCTTAATATCACACCAAGACAAGATAACTTTAAGAACAAAGATCATACTTTTATTAATAAAATAGATATCAAAGTATCTATTTTGTTAACTATTCTCCTCTACTTCTTTTCTATCATGGACAGTCCGATAACGAGACACCAGTTAGACTTTTTGGGGTCTATTATTATTAACATGCAACGGGAGATGAAATATATGTTGACCCTATTCGGGGACACTACTGCTTGACTAGGGGCATATTTAATAACAATCCCCCCCCCCGATCTTATATGCCTATCGGGTAATTGATTTCTTAATATCAGTTGCTGATAAAAAAAAAATTATCAGCATCTCTGTTTCATATTGCCGACGATTCTGTTTCCGAGAAAGTATCGGCCGAATGGCGCCTGAAATCCTATTCTTAAACGAGATACTTTTGTATCTATTTATTAATAAAAATATAATCCTTGTCCTTAATATATATATATATATATATATATATATATATGTGTGTGTGTGTGTGTGTGGTGTGTGTGTGTGTGTACGTGATTAAGCTTATCAGACAATATGAAAGGAACTTAAAATAAATAGACAACACCTGTCTATATTATTTAATGAAAC